TCCTGCATGGGATTCTGGAACAGAAAAGAACTTTAGGTGAGAATTAAGGAAATCTGAAGAAAGCATGGATTTTAGTGAATGATGATTTATCAGTACAGGTTCATTAATTGTAACATTAAGGTAAATGTTAATAACAGGAGAAATTGGCTATAAGGTATACTCTTTGTACCATCTCTGTAATAATTCTATAAATCTACTACTGTTGTAAAATAAAGTTTATTTATTTAAAAGAAAGACATTAGTGGAAACACTGGTGAACCCTGAATAAAGCCCCCAGTTAATAGTAATATATCAATGTTAACTTCTTGGTTTGATAATGTACCATGTCAAATGTAACATGGTTACAGAAGATGTTTGTATTAAGGGAAACCAGATTAAAGTCAAATGGAAACTCTCTGAACTATCTTTGCAAGTGTTCTGTAAATCTAAACAGTTTATTTTTTTTAATGGTCAAAAGTACTCAAACTTACACCTCTTAAAGAATACACAAGTGACCAATAAAGATATGAAAAATGTTTATCATCAAAATGCAATTATAAACTAAAATAAGAAAACACTACACACCCACGAGAATAGCTAAAATTAAAGACTAACCTCTTAAATGAAATGAACAAACAAGCAGATAACTTCAATAACCCACAACTATTCAAGAACTGAATTCCTAGTTCAAAACCCACAAAGAAAATTCCAGGTCCAGATGGCTTCACTGGCAAATTCTACCAAACATTTAAGAAATAATTCCAATTCTACACACAATTCTACACATATTCTTCTAGGAAACAGAAGAAAAAACACTTCCCAAATCACTAGTTATGGCCAACATCACCCTGACAACAAAACCAGACAAACAGATTATAAGAAAACAAAACTACAGACCAATATCCCCCATGAATATAGATGCAAAAATACTTTAAACGGGGGCACCAGGGTGGCTCAGCCGGTTAAGCGTCTGCCTTTGGCTCAGGTCATGATCCTGGAGTCCCAGAGCATCAGGCTCCCTGCTCAGCGGGGAGTCTGCTTCTCCCTCTCCCTCTACTTTTCCCCTGCTCATGCTTGCTCTCTCTCACTCTCTCTCTCTCTCTGGCTCACTCTCTCTCTCAAATAAATAAAAATCTTTTTACTTATTTTATAT